CGGGGAGAGGGGTGTCAGCGGGCAGGGCGGGCTCCCGGCAGGCGGAGAAGTGGGTCAGGGTGAGTTCGCCGGTCGGAGCCGCCGGGCGGCAGGGGTGCTTGGGGAGCAGGTAAACGGCACCCGTGAGGCGTCGCGGGGGAAGGCTGTGGCCTCCTACGGGCCGCCTGTCGGGGAAAACCGGGTTGTGTCTGGTCCTGGGGGTCTCTGGAGGAGAGGGCTGCACCCCAGCGCGAGGTGTGAGGAGAGCAGGCCGCGGAGCCCTTTCTCCTCACTTCCCTCAGAGTGACCTCTCCTTTGGGTTTTTCCTCACCCTGTGCCGTCTGGGTGTGCGCCGGCGGGCTGTGAGGGTTGCCCTGAAGAGGTGAGGGGTGTGTGGGAAGGATCGGTGGCCAGGGCTTGGTGCCTCGGCTTCCTCTGAGGTCCTCGAGGGCAAGGCGGGCTTGGGCGCTGTGAGTCACCTGGCTGTGGGGACAGGAGTGGGCTGAAGGAATGTCACGGGCAGCCTGGCTGCTCCTCTGCGCTCCTGGTGAGGGATCCCAAGGGCCGTCGGACAGATACAAGGGCTTCCCGCGAGGATAGATGAGGTGAGGTGGCTCCCACTGAAGATGACCTCCTGAAGGAGCCCAAGAAACGAGGACAGGCAGTTGCTGCCCTTTTCCTTCCCAACCCCTGCAGGCAGGGGAGAACTTTTCTCCCCTCACCCCTGTGCTACATCCAGCCCAGTGTAGCGCCCTGTGCCCCGGTGCTGGGAGCCATCACGTGACACAGCAGCAGAAGTCACCCCTGAGGACTGTGAAAACCCCACAGCGAAGAACATGCCACGTCGTGATGTTTTTTGGTAGCAGAGAGCTGTGAGGCCTCGAGAGCTGAGGGAGGAGGGTGTAAGGAGGGAAGTTTGGGTGGAAGAGAGAATTAAGGGGAAGGGGAAAGTGGAAATTTCACAGAGGGGTGGGGAAGGCACACTTGAGGACAAAGCGTGGTGTGGACAGAGATACAAAAGTAATTGGTGAAGCAGGGAAAAAAAAAAAGGAGGGCAGGATGCATGGGCATGGATCCTGCTCCCAGGTAGCCCTGTGTTGTAATCCTAACTCATCTGCTAATGGATCAGGAGGAATGAATAGGTAAGCTCTGGAGCAGATTGCTGAAAGGCGTTACAAAATCTGTCATGAGACATTTTAAAGGAAAGATTGGATATGCACCTGTCAGGTCTTAATGAGTCTTGGGGCTCATCTTGGTCACCTCTTCTTATCCTGTTTTTCTGTGATTACATGAAATCCCATCCTGGTAAGAATGATTTTCATCATCTGTTTGGTATGACTTATGTGGAATCTCTATCCTTGGAGATTTTCAAAACTCAACTGGAAAAAGTGTTGAGTAACCTGATGTAATGTCAGAGTCAGCCTTGCTTTGAGCAGGGGTTCGGACAAGGTGATGTTCAGAGTGCCTTGCCAGCCTGAACTGTTGCGTGTTCCACAGTTTACCAAAATGTGGTAGATTTATTATGAGCAGTTATTAACGTTTTTAGTATTAACCTCCCCGCTGCATTCTGGAGCTGAAGAACTTGACACGGAGTATAGGTGAACTCATTTGCTTCTTCAGTCAACACTTCCTTCGATGATTAAAAATGCAACACTGACTGAAAGCAGCTGAACAATGCATTGAATTGAATTTGGAGGTCTTCATCTTTCTTCTAACTTGAAATGAAGGCTGTTAACATCTCCTTTGTAATTACTGGAAATACCAGTCTGTGCATAAACCCAAGTATTTGCAGGATGTTTTGGCTTGATTGGGTCATTACTTTTGTTTAAGTACGACAACTTTGGGAGGGAGGGGCATTGTTTAATTTTTATAATGGCCCAGTGTTGCTAAAAATCTATTTTTTTCATGCAAGGAAACGTGGGGTTTTTTTCAGTCTTTTATATTTTTATTACTTTTTTCTTGGGGAGGGCAACAGGGTCCCTTGGCAAGTTGCGTGTTACAAAATCAAAGCAAAAGGTGGTCTCTGTCCCGCACAACATACAGCATAGCAGCTTATGGGATCATTTACTTCTGCGTAAAGTGATCTGATTCTCCTCTGCCATGCAGAGTCACTTACATCAATGCAAAGGGATGGTAAAATGAGGATATAACCTCACTTCATATAAACCGTGTGAAGTACGTAAATGGTATGGAAGACAGAAGAGAATTAGGCCAAAGTTATTTCTTCATCAGTTTTCTGAAACTTGATTTCTCTCTCCCCAGCAATATAGTGCTTTTGTCTTGATTTGTCTCCAAGCACTGGCTGAAAAAGGCCATAAGAAGTGTCTTAATTTTGAAGTGTTTGGCCATAAAACAGGAGAGAAATTTACGTAAGCAGTCATGCTAAAACCAGGGGAACTACTTACATGAAAGCAGATTTTTTTTTTTTTTAATGTTTACAGAAGCCGAGATAATGGTGCTATTAATGAGGTCTCCTAAATGTTAGCTTAATATTTGGGTTACTGGTTTATTTCAGCAGCATTACTTGCTATTCCAGAATTTGTCAAAACAGCAACAACGAAAATATACACATGCTGGTATTTTGTTGCAGTGGTTTAAAATGGTGTTGTTAAATGTAAAAGTTTCCAATAATAACTTCCAAACTGCTTGAATCATTTATTGTTTTTATTATTTTTGAACAATGTGCTAATAACTGAGGCCAAGACTTTCAGAAATTATTTCCCAGAGCTGTTCTACCTCAGCCCATATTTAGACATCTGAAAAACCGAACCTGCAAAAATTCAGTAAGATTTAGGAACGTAGCTGACATTCCTGTGTTTGGAAACCTTTTCCAGCATGCAGAAATGTGTGATTTGTAGCCTACTTCAGGCAATTTCTTTACAACTTTTTCATCTTGGCTTGAGATTTGTCTTGATAAACACTATGTAAAGATTTATCATGTCAGCCTTCCCTAGATTATTTATTTTTTAACCATCTTTGTACCCTGTGCATTTCATGTGATGTTGTAACACAAAATAAGGAAGATGAGCACTGTATGGATAGAAGATTGCTGACATTAGTTTTGCTTGCTTTAACGCATCATTGAAGATAAAACATTTTAAACCAGATATTGTTGAAAAGCAGAATGTTTTCAATTACTGAAATAATAGCTTAGTGTGGAAAAATCTCAAAATCATGCTGCTGTCCTTGTGGGGAAGTTCGGCACAAAGGTCCTTTATAAGTTTGGGTTCTCGGTATCCGTTTCATTGACTTGGCCTTCTCTCCATTCTCTGGGTTTTATGTTCTCTTTATTTGAAAACAGTACTTTGTATTACGTATCTCCTTACGCTGAGATCTCAGGCTCGTTTCCCAAATGCACTGGCTGCCAGTCTCTAAGGTAGGAAGTACTGTAGCAACTTAGCACGTTAGCACACTGAAATGTTGAGAGCTTTAGAGTTACTGGAAGTATGGAAGTGCTGCCATGCGATGTCTAGAAGAAAACCCAAGGACAGACTCCCAACATGTGCTTTTAACTGTGGAGCAACACTAATTTCTGGCTTAGATACTATCATTTCATCTTTGCCAAGAAGTTAATCTTGGGCCATGGTTCTTGAAGGATGCTCATTTTGAGCTTTTCAGGACAAAGATAAAATCTGGGTAGACACTTTTGCAGGGAAGAATAAATGCCTTGGGGAAGTACATGTGCCTTCTGTTAAAATAGCGGAGCAACTTAAAACTATCTTAAATCTTTGAAATAAATTTCCCAGATTCAAACCTGGGTGCTTCAGGTACATTAGAGATTCCTGTAATGGGAGGATAGGTAGAGCACTTGCTCTGTTACAGGACTGACGTGATTATGAAAGTCCTAGAGTTTATGCATGCCCTTCACATAAGCAGGTGAAACTAATTAATGTCATATAAATTAGCTGTACAGATGGAAAGACATTGCCAGTTAGCATCAAATAGATTGGATTTACCAAAGTTGAGACTAAGGATGGATCATGACTTTGTTAAAGGGACAGTGTCGTGGTTTAGGCCAAATCAGCTACTGGTGACCTGGGGGACCCCAGATGGGACCAACAGATGCTCCCCTCTACCCCTCTTCAAAGAGAGAAGCAAAGAAGGAAAAAGAGACATATAAGTTTAGAAGGAACTAAACTACTTTAATGAAATATTAATAATAAAATAAAAAGAAATAATGAAATATATAAAAAACCATATCAGGCTCCCAGGATGACAATCACGACACCGGCTGGCACTGGGGCAGTCCCAGGCTGGACTCAGTGACGGACGGGAACTGGATTCCGGATCTGCATTCAGGATCGGAATCAAAGGCAGACAAACAGACAGAGTCCTCCTCAGATGTCAGCCATTGAAGAAAGAGAGAGCTGACCCTTTGATCCCTCAGCTTTTATACTGAGCATGAGGCAGATGGGATGGAATACCCTGTTGGTCAGTTTTGGGTCACCTGTCCGCTCCTCCCTGCAGGTGGGACACCACTGCGCTTTTCCTCTTCCAACCCTCCAATGGGGCAAATAACAAAGTTGGCTGCCCTTGGTTGTTAGAGCAATAAGTATAAGCAAGATCCTCTCTGCATACCATGCCTGGGCATCACCTATAAATGTTGGCCTTATCACTCTGAGAGAGCGGAGATTGTCTGCACAATATGCTGTTAATTTCAGAAGAGGCCAGCTAAGAAGCGAAGTTACTGAACAAAACTGGTCCTGTTTTACCTCAAACCAGGACAGACAGCCTTCCCTCTTTCGTTACTGTCTTGATCTAGCAAATTCTGGAGCTCAGCATTATTCTGAGATATCTTTGTTTCCTATCTCAGGAGCTGTGTCAGCAACATAATTCTTTGTTCCTGATGATTCCACCAAAACAAACCAAGTGAATTCATGTCTTAAAGATAACACAAGTCATTATGCCTTTTTTCCTCGTTTGCTGACAGGGATGAGCTAGCAGAATGGGGAAAGTACGGGGTATCTCTGAGTGGGTGTATACTTCTCTGCCTGTTGTAGATGAACACACAGTTGTTTGGTCCCATTATGTCAGCTAGCTTTGGCAGTAGCCCTTTAAGAGTTGCTCAAGACAGTTGAGAGTGAATAATACTCTGTAAATTATCTCATGGAAAGGGGTGCTTTTAATACAGTCTGACATTAGAGAAGTAAAGTGAGCAAGCAGTGGTGTTTGACCCAGAGTCCTTAACGTGGTTTGGATTACTGTAGTCAGCAGGCAGATATTCAGGATTTTTTACATTCCTGATTATGTTGGAAGGAATGTCTATTAGTTAGAGCAAGAGACTGGGAGTCAGGATTTGGCCGTAGCATTTGGTGTATTTGCACATCCCTTTGCTTCCTTATGCCTCAGTTTACCTCTCCATAATTGAAGGACTAATTTCTACATGTTTTGAGATTCTGAATAGAAGTTAAAGGCTTATTATTTCTGATTGATTTGTATTTTTTGCTGCTATCTATTTACAGTTGCTTATGATTCTTTTTAATATTTTCACTTGGGACTAAAACCATTTACTTTTTTTCTTTTATTGAAGACTCGATCTTTGCTCAGTGTATTTGAAGAAGATGCAGGAACCCTTACTGAATATACAAACCAGTTGCTTCAGGCGATGCAAAGAGTCTATGGCGCTCAGGTAAATTTTCATTTGCGTTTCTTTTGTTTGTTGTGCAGTAGAAGATAAATTGCTATTATCATGCTGTTGTTTACATGAAAGTTGCCAAGTACCTGCACCTCTTGTGGTTTAAGAGGAGTTGTGGGTGTTTTCCATCTGATATCTTGGCCTCTTCCTGCCTTGATGTTCAGAGAAGTCATATGCATGAAGAAAACCTTATCTGCTTTGTCTGTCTCCAAACAATTCATAAAAGAAAAATTGTGGTATGTCCTTACTTTATGGTACATTGGAAGGTCAGCCTTGACAAAATTGCTTGCCTAAATGTAGACACAATACACAGATAGGTATTCATGCTGACTTTAGGTATCCAGCTTAGATGCTGTGACTCACTATTTGGAAGGAACTATGTCCATTGGTTACAGAGAGAATGTACACTTTGAATAATACTGAAATTGAATACCTAAAGTAGTTAGCGTGAAAAATATGGGAGCAAGAGCAGAAAAAAAAAAATCACACTTTCTAAAGTACTTACATGACCTAGATGACTAAATCCCTTTGAAAGTAAAATTTGTAAGGTAAATCATATCCAGTGCTTTGGAAAATATTATTATAAATCTGGGTAATTTTCAGTGAAGCTAGGATTCCCATGTGCATGAAACTAGATATTTCAAAATACTGTATCTAGGTCTTTAAAGACATACACAGTATCTCATGGAACACTTGCAAGTATTTATGTAGGTTAGATACTCGAGTTCCTTAGAAACAACAGCTTTTCTGATCTCAAACCAGTGCATCAGAGGACACAGAGAGATGAGGAGAATGGGGTATTCTGAATGTAATGGAAGACCGAGTGCCGGATTCTTATGTTATCAGGAATCAGTTTAGCTATAAAACTACTGCAAGTGTATGCCTATTTGGTGGGATTGCTCTTTTGGGTGACTGATAGTATGAACTTGGAAGAACGAGCCATCTGCCTAAGATCTAGCTATGTACACCTGGAAGATCCAGCTTTGGAGAGCTTCAAAGTCTTCATGTCCTGGATCCTGTGCAAATGCGGAGCAATTAGAGCCTTGCAGCATAGCTCAGATACTTAGAAAACAATACAGCATAGCCCAGGAGGTGGAGAGGTGGCATGAAATCAGCAGTGAAGTCAGTGATGGTCATTTTGGTAGAGTTGCTGAGCTTTTTAAGAGTAGCAAGAGCGTGGGCAGGTTGGATGGTAGAAATCTGAGACCAAAGAGCGGGTAGGATTGAAAGAGTTGAAAGGCAATCAGAGGATAAATATGGCTTGATTATTAAATGTCCAGCTGGTGGACATTTGCCTGGCTGATGCCTTTTTAGGATGGCATTTTAGGAAGCGGTTACTTTGGCCTGTGATTCATGAAAAAATGCTTTGTCTGCTTTTGTTTGCCTCTTCCTTTCCATCTTGGTTTTTAGCCGCCTTCATTTCTGTTGTCCCACAGTCAGGACATTTCCTCTTTTCTTCCCACTGTCTCAGCGCATTTACCCATCTGTACTTCGCAGTACTCCTGATTCTACTTCATTTTCCCAGCACCTCTTGGTCACTTTCTTCCTGCACGCTTCCTGCTTTAGTTTGATCTAGCCATTTAGTCACTTGTGAATATTGGATGTGTTCATTGAAATATTTCATCAAATGTTTTATGCCATTTTGAGATGGGAGGTGCATAGCAGTTTTTTAAAGTCAAGTTTCCTAAGGATGTGGAAGAGGGTACGCTGCACTACGATTGACTTGGGAAAATTCAGGTTTAGTGGCCAGTGTTAGGGACTTGGTTCAACATTTAGTGTTCTTAGTGTTGCTGCTTCTGCCGTTTAATTCTTTGGAAAGCACTGTGGGTTGTGACTTCAGTTTGGGTTTGTGTTATCAGGATCCAGTAGTGGCAAAAAAGATGACATTGCAGTAACAATAAAGTATAAGTAGATCATAGTAATTATGTAAGTGAATAAGAAAACTGAAACTTCTTGTAGTTTTTATTCTATATGTGCTTTAAAAAGTCTTGATATTTTTGTATGATACCTAAAAGAACGTGCTAAAATTGGTACAAAATTCTGTTTTTTAAATAAAAATTAATGGAAATTATTAATTCGGCCATATACAGTGGTTAGTCCTCAAGAGAATGTTAGTGTTTTATAGGCTAACGTTGATTTATGACTAGTTTTACTGAGCTTTGCAAATATCAATATATCTTTTTAAGGAACTGCTCCTGAGTATTTCAAAGGAAGACATGCTTTCTGACTGAACTCAATTTTTTGAGAGGCATACCCCTTATTGCAAAACTTTATGATTGCAGTTGCCTTAGAAAGAGAAGTGTGATGCTGAATTGCCCGCTAAACATGAATGAACAGTTAAGAAAAATCTTTGTGTAAAATTTCTTTGCTGCCTCGTCACAACTTGAGAGAAAATGAACTTTTGCTGATGTGTTGAAGGGAACAAGATTTAGCAGAGTGTAAAATTGAGATCAATGAGAAGCCGGGTTCTGAATTTGCCTTTTTATTTTCCCGACTTAAATTTTGTCTTTGCAAAGTCATTGTCATCCCCTGCTCTGATTTCCTTACCTGTAAAATAGGAATTGCAGTTACTGACCTACTTTGAAGCAATGACACAAGTTCTGTGTGCACAGCCATAAAAATGGCTGGAATCACAGTCATGGCAGTCAGACAAAAGAGCAGTGGGTTGTACCAGTCCACAGTATTGAAAAATAAGGGTGTATGCCCCCTTAAAGCAGTTAGGACAGTTTTAAAAACATAAGTCTTGTTTTCTTCCTGACTACATTCTGAACTTCAAAATTTCCCAGATGTGTCTCAACCATATTTTCAATATTTTCTGGAGAAGTTTACTAGAAGTTTGGTGTTTCTTGTGATGAAAACTCAGATTTTTCATGTAATTGAAACCACTGTAGCTTGTGATCAAATAACAATAGTTGATGGTTCTGAATAAATGCAGTGCAAAGTCTCAGGGGAGCAGCAATTACTACCAACTGCAAGCGGTTAATTATCCATGCGGATATAGGCATATAATTGTCCCAAAACACTGCTTTGTGTGCAGAGCAGCAGTAAGTTAGTAAATTGACAGCTCAAGCTGCTTTAAACACTTGGATCAATGCATTTGAAAAGAATGTGAGAGAGAAATAATTGCTTTTTTTTAAGGACTTAGAAAAGTAGGAATCTTTCTGAACCCACTTTTTTTTTTTTTCCTCTCTCCCTTAAGGCACGGATTTCTGCTAGGTGCTGGGCACCTAACTTTTCAGGCTAACCTGTTTTCAAGCAGGACTTCATTTTGCATGCCTTTAACTTTTCTAATGACATCAGGGCAGTTGTTGGGATGAAGCCCATCCCAGTGAATGTAACCAGTAAACCACGTAGATGGACCTTTGAAATGTCTTGAAACTGCTTTTGTCCCAAGAGAGGAAGGATGGGTCTGCAGCATCCTGTCATGGGGTGGAGGCATCGCAGTGGCTACGCTGCCTAGGCAGGTGGAGCCACTTGGTGTGGAAGGGCCCGTAACACCAGGCTGCAGCTGGGTGATGTATTGCTTGCAGGTTGCCTTTGGGGGCAAGGCCTTCGATGCATGACAAGCACCTGGTTGCTGTGCAGAATCAGGGCAGTGCTCTCTCTCCTCTTTGCCCACCCACACCAGGTGTGATGAGGTGATGACTATTTCACACACAGAGTTCTTCAGTGAAAAAGAGACTGCGATGTTACAAGGCAGATGCAGTGTATGATGCTGTGATTAAGGAGAAGTCACAGGAACCAAATACATGAGCTGTGCTTGTGGAGTGAGGTTTGGTTGATCTGGGAAGCCCATGTGTGTAAATACAGTGAAGCATTTTTATATTTCTTCATCAAATAAACCACATCCATGTGAGTACATATTGTACTTCCTGCCGTAGTTCTCCCATCTGTGCTGTGGAACCCTGAAGTAGTTACCACATTAGTGGTATTATGGAGGAAATCTTCCTTACAGAGTTTGTTCTCACAGTTCCTCCTTGCAAGCAAGCCCTGATGATGCATCTGACATTACTGCTGTCTGATTTCTGTGAATGTTGTGTTCACCATTCTGGACATTTTATTACTTGAGCAACATGTAATGCAGTAAGCAAGGACCATTAGAAAACTTGATTTACTTAACTTGCGTGCTGAGGCTCTTGCAACGGTGTATGAGCAAAGTGTGCCCAGTTTACATTCCTGTTTTACAGTTTACATTGTCACTGCCATAGTAAATTATCTTCAGAGCTTTACTATCATCTGCAGTTCCTCATCATACTACAGAAATGGCTTAGTTGGGATCTTAACTTGAAACAAAATGCCATGTAGAAACTCAGTAGACCGTTGTCTCCCACTATTGGAAGGGATGAACAGTAAACAGGTTAGAGGAAAGTAAGGTGCAGTATTCTGTCACTGGAAAGAGGTTTCATCGTATTATTCCTGACAAATCTGTCTAGATACTAAGAGCAGTGATGGCAGAAGAGGAACAAAAAGAACCTATGTTGCCTTTATTGATGTACCCAGAAAGAGAACAGCGTAGGAATTGTGAAGCGTAATTCTGTTCAGCATTGGTGTCTCTGAGCAGTTGTCTTGTGATTCCAGAGTCACACGGGCAAAGCAGCAGCAACCTCTGGGGCTCACTGCCTTTTCATGTCCAGACTCTTGAGAAAACTCTTGACAATTTTGGAATGGTCTTGAGTTGTATGTACCACATTACATGGTTATCAGGACAGCTTGTATGTGTCCAAGGCTATTTTAGGTAGTGCATTATACTGGTGTTATTTCTCTCTCCAAATTCATGACACCTCACGTCTGCATTTTTCAACAGTGCTGCTTGTTTCATCTTCCTATGTATTGACTTCACTAGGCCGTAACTCAGTAGACAGGTGGCAAGCTCTCTAGGGCATGCATAGATTTTCGTATTTATTATGTTGCATAGCTAACCCCAAGTGTTCAGAATTCTTAAACTAGTTCTTGCTAAACTAACAAGTAAGCACTGATACTTTTTTTTTTTTAAA